TTTTTTTTTTTTTTTTTTTTTTTTTTTTTTTTTTTTTTTTGTGTCTTTTCTTTTTCATTTGGACAATTGTTACAATTCTTGATTTACACATGTCATCCTTGCACAGGTGCCATGCTCTAATCTTCTCTGTATCATTCCTTTTTTGTTTTATTTAATTCGACCATTTCTCGAATTTATGTGTGTCGTCCTTGCACAGGGGCCATGCTAATCTTCTATGTATAGTATTATAGTTCCAATTTTAACGGATGGCCCAAAGGACTTGTTCCAATTTTAATGGATGTCCCAAAGGACAATTCCATTTTATTTCTCATTCTGAAAACACCACTACCTCCAAAGTACCTTTCCGTTTTATTTCTCATTCTTAGAGCCTCTTTTTGCCGAGTCGGAGGCTGAAAAGAACTTCCCGGCAAGCTTTGCCAAAGCACCAGGACGAGTTGTCCTTTGTTTTTGTTTTTGTTTTTTTGTTTTTTTGTTTCGACTGCTGCCGCCAGCCATTTTGGTCCAGTGGCGACTAGCCTCCGAAAAAATGCGGCATAATGATCTATATTAGATTCTATACCCCATTCTTAGGAGGTTTCGAGCTTGCCTGTGAAAGGATAGTGGTCGTTTAACATTTTCAGCTTTTGAAGTCAGCAACTGAGGGCCTACCGTCTTCCCCCGAATACAACATATCGTCAGTATTGCTGTATCTGGACTGAAAGTTGCCCAAAATACAGGCATAATGACCGTACATTCTATTCGGGTTGCCTGTGAAAGGGTAGTGGTGGTTTAACATTTTCAGCTTTTGAAATACTTTCAGGTTACTTGTTATCAGGTCTTGATTGTTTCTTCGCTATGCCTTGTTTGGTCGTTTATGCTGTTCCGTTCTTTGTCTTTCTGTTTTTGTTATCTGTGTCCTTTGTGGCACCTTCTTCTCCCGAATAGAATAGAACGTATGGTCATTATGCCTGTATTTGGGGCAACTTTCAGTCCAGATACAGCATTAATGACCAATATGTTATATTCGGGGGGGAAGACGGTAGGTCCTCAGTTGCTGAGCAAGGGGCTAGTTGAACCACTTGTCATCCCCACATTCACTACTCTCCAACGTTGGAGACTGCTGTCCTTTGCAGAGCATTTTCTACACACATCCATAATAAGCGCCTAGTTGTTGGACCAATCGGCTTTGTGGGCTAGGTACTCAGTCGGGCATTCTGTGGAGTCTGTAGATGGCTCTGCGAAGGATGGCAGTCCTCTACGTTGGAGCGTAGTGAATGCGTCTCAACGACTCTATAATAACTTAGTAATAAGTAAAATCCTCCACAGTTGGAGACAGAGCGCCTACCGGTAGTTGAACCACTCGCGATCTCCACAGTTGGAGAGTTTGCTTGGTCGAACCACTCGCCATCCGTCAAGGATATGAATGCATCTGGACAAACTCCTTGTCCAGATGCATTCAAAATGTTGGCAGATGGCAAGTGGTACAACTACTAGGCCCTAAATCTGACATGTTGTGTGCCTTTGTGTCAATTACTCTGGAAGGACAGAGTCACTTAAATGTTGTTGACTTTGGAGGAATCGAGCGATTCCGTCATCTGTGGATCACCACCGTCTAACCCCGAATACAACGTACGGTCACTTGTACTAGCTGTATTTGGGGTAACTTTCAGTCTAGTTACTTTCAGTCTAGTTACGAGGGTAATGGCTGTACGACATGTACGTTCGGGGGGGGTGGCAGTAGTTGTTGACGTAAGCAGCATCCCGTGGACATGTGTTCATGGCTTACTCTTCCTGCATCAATGAAACTTTTGCTGGCTGTCTTGCAGAGTCTAGAAAGGCTGATTGTTTATTACTATTCACACAAGTATTCGATGTGTGTTTAAGTTTGAGTAATTCATGTTATTATAACTTAATTAAGTTATATTAACTGTTTTATTCATTTTTATGATGTTGTAGGGTCAATGGTCAGTGGTTGGTTTTTGAACTCAACATGAGTATGTTGGTGAGGAATTGTTTTTTTTTTTTTTTTTTAAGTCAAATTTTGAGTCAAATGTTCAGACTTTTTGTTTGCTTTGTAACTTTTGTTTGCAATTATGACTTTACAATTTAAATTTTAAAATTTAAACTCATGGTCTGTTTATCAACAGCTACACGCGCGTGGACCACGCAGCTGCACAGACTTGGTGTCAGAAGACTCAGAACTAATATAATATGTGTAATGATGAAATTCATTGTGCAATGTGCATGCAATTTGTTTGTTTGATGGGCAGTGGTTCAAGGGAGGGAAGACAAATATATGCTATAATGCATTGGACCGACATGTTGAGGAAGGGCGAGGAAGCGATGATGCATTCATATGGGAGGGAAATGATGTCGGCAGAGAAAGAAAGCTCACATATAGTGAAGTTCTGGAGCAAGTATGCCAGGTACATATGAACTTGCACTCTTTCTTCTCTTGCAACGAATCGCCCCTCGTTGAGGAGTTGTCCATACTGACACGTAGAACGGCGAAACAAAACCCAAAACTTCCAAAAGTATTCAGTAGAAGGATATCTACTTGTGATTCCGGCTATGGAAGGCTTTTCTCTTGTCATGGTTTTGTGCCGATTCTATTTGTTTTGTGTGGTCAATGAAGGACTCGCCTTGGGACAAGCTCCCACTTGCAAAGGACACGTTTTTTTTTTTTTTGGGCAGAGATGCAGAAAAGCAGACAATCCCAATTTTCTGCACCTTTCTGCCAATACGTCCAGGTTCACAAGTCAAATCTGATCCTCTTTGCTAGTGGGACCTCACCCTGCGTAGCAGAAACTGGGTAATGGGCCCCCCGGGGTAGTTGATGTAGTGGTCGTAAAATGGGACACTGGAACCCGTTTCCAGCAGTGTGTCACTCCCCACCAATAGCTCGGAGCATCCCGTGGGGGCCTGATAGGGGAGGATGCTCATATCACCCCCTCTTATCAGGTCCCGCCTGGGGGTTTGATTCCAACAAAAAAAAAGGAGATTTGTTTTAAACTTCTAAAGAGAGCGTCTAACAACTCGCTGTAAAATTGGCGTGCTATTATTGGCTACCGTCTTCCCCCCGTACATAATGCACCCTGATAATGAATGTATACAGGTTATGTTTCCGGCCCAATACAGTCTAAATGAGGGTGTGTTGTGTGTTCAGGGAAGACAGTAGTCCAGTTGTCGTTTAGGCCCCGGGGGTTGTGAACTTGTGACTTATGGTGGGCTGCAGTGGTCCTTTTTTGTCTTCCTAGGGTCTGTCGGAATCGGTGTGGAAACATCTGTTATAATTTCTTTGTAAAGTTTGTATTAGTTTTAAGTTTTAGTCACCGAGGTCAGTTTTAACTTTTAAGTTTTAACCTTGCAAAAGCAAAAAGGGAATCTTGTAGTCGACCAAGGTCAGTGACGATGGGTCTCACCGCACGGCACACGAAACAAAAACGAAACGAGTGCATCTGCCAACGAAAGGTGGCAAAATACACTCGTTATTATTTATAGCAAACCGATGAACCTGGCCATTTTCTGCAGGAAGATGCACTCGTTTCGTTTTTCGTTTCATGTCCCGAGCGGCGACGCCCAATGCCTGATAAGGTAGCTGTGTATAGTGTGTAATCTTGTAGAGCAGGCTCTGTAACAATACCAGAAAGTAGGTACATACTACATACTACATATAGTATGAATATTACCCTCTTTCGCAACTTTGTTCAAGAGGGAAAGGATGAATGTAGTCAAATGACTAATAAGTTAATTGACCATTTGCCTGCCCGTGTGTTTGCGAATCTTAGTCATAAATCTTTCATTGGCCTGTCTACTTCAGAATTCCCCCCCCCCCTCCATTTTTTTTGAGCTACTAAGCGCAGTGCTTTGGAGAGTCCTCTTCTAWKAWTCTTTCKTGGCTYATTTYTGWYATYTKKTYTATCWACKTGYTTGGAAGGGGTTTTTTTTTTTTTTTTTTTTTTTTTTYWTTTKTTYATGGCATCCTTGCGCAGGGGCCATGCTACTGAGCTTCTTTGTATTTTACTATTTTTGTAATTTCAACGGATGTCCCAAAGGAGGCTTGAACCTGGCTGCTTCATGGTTCGGTCAACTTTGTTGTGATCTTCTGCTGTTCAATTTCGAAGGTGGCTTTCATCGACTTTCGCACCAGGATGTACAAGTGTGCAGTGTGTTGTTTGTGCAAGTGATTTTTGACAATAGGGAGACGAAAAGACGAGACCGTAATGATACGAGCATTCTCCCTGGGAAGCCCGGTTAAACCACCACTACCTTTCCCATATGTCGGTCACGGGCATCTAGTAGCCTACGCCTGAAAAATAGCTGCCACGCCGCCGTCGATGTTTTTCATAGATGGCATGTGGCGGCTGAATTTGAATTTGAGGCCCGCGGCCCCACATATGAGAAAGGTAGTGGTGGTTTAAAAGAAGAGAAAAAGAAAAGAAAAAAGAAGAAGAAAAAAAAAGGACCGTAATGGGAGAGGAGGGTGAGAAGGGGATGAGGAGACGAGCAACTGCTTTTTTTTTTTTTTTTCCCTCGTCGTAAAGTTCAGTCGTGTTCCCTACTATGGTGGAAGGTGATCAGAGCATCCCCCCAGGGTAGGGTCCCGTGTTGAAGGCTCTAATCTATGATTGGTGGGGAGCAACACCTGCTGGAAACAAGCGACGGCTTTCTGATGGTGTGCCGGAATGCATGTGTGTTGCATCACTATGTTGTGCCTTGAGTTTTTGTTTGTGCACTTGTGAGAAGTCATGACTGACTGAGTGGTGTGTGTGTGTGTGTGTGCTGCGTCCTTTGTATGCAGCTTGCAAACTATCTGCGCTCGATAGGAGTTAAGAAAGGGGATCGCGTGACAATCTACATGCCAATGCTACCGGAGCTTCCCATGGCAATGCTTGCATGTGCAAGAATTGGAGTCGTGCACTCGGTAAGATTTTAGCTCAGTGTCCTTCGGGACATCCGTTAAAATTCGAACGATACAGAGAAAGAAGATTAGCATGGCCCCTGCGCTTTCAAGGATGGCACGCATACATCGAGAAATGGTCCAAATTAATATATAAAAAGAAGAAGAAGAAGAAGAAGAAGAAGAAGAAGAAGAAGATTTTAGCTCAGTCGGTATGCCGATGAACTGTTGAAAGTGGAAACACGGACCTTAAGTTTGAATTCTAATGGGACCAGATGAGTAATAACTTACTAATAAGCTAGGCTACCAGAGTGGCCCGAGGTCACTTGCCCGACCGGGCCAAAAAAAATAAAAAAATAAAATTAAAAATATATATATTTTTTAAATGTGGTAAAGAATTTCGATGTGACCCTGAGGCAAAGGGTTGTTCAGTTTAATTTTCTGCATAACAATGATAACATAGTTTTTTTTCCGGATTTTTTCGAGTTTCTTTTTTTTTTTTTTTTTTTTGACTGGGACCTTCTCTGGTCCTTGCACGGGCTGGCCACCCGGGACCCGGGCGGCTCGGCTGGTAGCCTAGCTAATAAGTTAATAACTTACTAATAACTAGTAATAAGTCTGAATTAACCTGGGGAAGGGGCGGTCAGTTCAATGACGATATCTCAAGGCTGTTGCTCTTTCTTAAACAAATAAGATTTTAGTCGGGTAATGACCCCGGTATCTCAAACTGTTCTATATATGTTTTCATATGGGACGCTGGGCCCGGTTCCCAGCATGTGCCATTACTGGTCCGAGCAGATGACAAATGGGTGGGACTCTGGGCCCGATTTCCAGCATGTGCTGCTCCTGGTCCGAGCATATGACACATGGGTTCAAGGCTTCAAGCTGGTTGGGTCATTGCGTTTTCTCCTTGTGTGAAACCAGCTGACGACCGGAAGGCTGCATACATAATTACTTTTTTTTTTTTTTTTTTTTTTTTATTAACAGGTCCTTATGGCTCTGGCTCCATTTCCTTTCTGGGGAGCGTCAGTCCGGTTCCTATTCCACCGGCAAGTCAAAACAATAATACAGCATGAGCACTTCACACACGCTTCCTTCCGTACGGCCGAAGGACCCCTGACCAGCATTGATTACTCCATGTATATGGAGGATTGACTGTCAGCTTGCCCCGCTAACCCTTTCCTCTCAGGCCCACTGAAGGAACCTGTCAGTTACAAACGAGAAACCAAGAAAGGCCCTTAGCAGCAACGACCTCTCCCACCCCTCAGCCTACCGAAAAAAGACTGCCTATTGTCTACCAAGCTGCCTTAACCCTATTTACATTGCTTAAAAGTAGGCCTAGCCTCTGCTACCTTGAACCGGCTGGCTAAAACCCTTAAACCCTAAACCCTTGAGTCGCTACCGGCTGGCTAACCCCTTTAATCCTAGCCCTTCCCCTATTCGTTTAAGTGGTATACCTTCTCTACTAGCCTTCCATTGACAGCGACCTGTAAACTGTGGTCCATAGCCACTTATGTGTCCTCACTTCCATATCCATAACTTATACGGTACCTATCCTTCCGTTCCGTCTTGAGCCCGGGTATGTGGTATGTCTATATTCTCGTCAGCTTACCCTATCCTGGCCTTAGATTTCAGTTTTGCCCCACCTCTTGCGTCCTCAACCTTTGGTCCTTGACCTTCGAGTTTCGTTATGGATTCCTGTCTCTCTATGTATCCTTAGGCCCTTCTGATTGCTTGTCCTGTCTGAGACAGTACCTGATGCCTGGTACCTGATGTGGCCCCTTTCTCCCTTCAGCTCATCAGCCCATTCGCTGCAGGTGTGGTCTGGGGCTCCGGCCTGCTTCTGAATTGTGCCAGTCTTTCCAGCACACTCGGTCATTACGTAACTCGGCCACCTTACCATTCACCAGCCACTGTCTGGTAAACTTCTTCCTAACCTTTTCTTGCTGGTYCTCGTCCTCAGGCATCRACAGCCTTAACCTCTGCCATCTGCAGAGAATTTCAGCCTGTAGCATAGATCTTGTCTCCGCCCATACCTTCTCTCTCGGGTTGGACAGTCCTTCAATAGTCCTGGAGCATCTTTCCTTCCAAATGRTCCRTAGAGTCRCTTTCCTGATCAGTCCGAACCACAACCTCTCTGTCTTCTGAAGATGATCGGGGATGTTAGTCCAGAGGAGGATTTGGATGGGGTGCTCGGGGAAGGGGACATGGAAGAGGGAATCCCAGAGGGCTGAGGCCCGTGCCCAGTAATCTGTCGCCTCACTACATTGGATTAGGCGGTGAACTATGTCTTCTTGAGCCCCTTCTGTACAGACTGTGCATAGGTCCGAACTGGTGCGATCGTTTTTTGACGTCTTATGTGTAGCCATTGATTCACAGGCAGTGCCGCGTACGTAATGAGCCACTGGAGGCTCCTGATTTTTATGGGTCTGATAGTCTTAAATTTCTTCCACAGGATCTGTGTAATTTTATCGGCTTCCTGACCTACTAGTTTCTGCCATCTGTTTTTGATTATAGGATCTGGGTCTTTTGTTTTAACTAGGAGTTTGTAGCCGAATTTAACTGTATAGTTGTATATGGGGACCTTGGACTTGACATTCCTTCCCTGTCCGGTGTCCAGGCCCATTCTGCCGGGTCGAATTCCAGTTCTGGACTGACGTGTATGGTCTGAAGATTGATTTAGGCCACGACCCTAGTACTCTTACCTTCCTAAGTAGAAAGAAGTCCATGACTACGGATTCCACCTCTCTGTTTAATATAGACGCTATTCCATGTTTAGAAGGGGAAATCGGGAAGGAGGAGAAGAATGATGTGGTGGTCGAACCCGGTTGCATGTGGGAGAATTGGAAGGCTCGTGAGGGAGGGGACTCTTGTACCTTAACCCCCCACTCTCCAGATTTCCACGGCGACGCTTCACACAAGATATCTTTCCAGTCTTGAGGGATGAGATTAATAATGTATTCGCCTATGACATCCCTTCAACTGCGTGCTCAGCTTCTGTTCGGTTACCCACTCTTTCATTTCTTCACTCCATTGGTGACTTATTTTCCATACCCCATTCTTGACCCATGATAGTCATCTGTGATCCAAATGCAGGGGATTATCGCCTTCGTCTGTAACCCATTGGTTGTCGAACAGCAGTTGTCTCAGAACCTTGTCTTTGGACCTTGGTCTATTAGTCTTCTTTTGCAGAATTTCTCTCCATATCTGAATCGGAGCTGTCCAGTATGGGTTGGGACGAGTGGCTTCCTCAGCTCTAGTTCCTCTTCTTGGTTTTCTCCGCCCTGTCTTGGGGCTCCATTCCTTGGTCATTACCCAGAACAGACCTGTCATGTTTTCTGGTGAGGCCACTGGCGCCAACGCTCTAATGCTATCTAAAGCTAGTTTATTCCATGTGTTGTCAGGCTTCATCAGAAGCTTGATTATTCATTTAACCTGGAGGGCCCTGGTTTCCTATCTAGGGTTTATAACCCCTAGCCCCCCATACAATGATTTTCTCGTGATATACTGGCAGGCAATCTTAGGAATACAACCCTCTTTGTTGGGGTTCCCCGTCCATAAATAGGACCTTGCTCTGCGGTTAAGTTCCTTAATCGAGCTATCCGGTATTGTCCAGATTGAGGCTACATACCACATCATAGAGAACACTGATGTGTTGAGAACTAGGGCTCGACCAATTAGTGAGGTGAAAGTGTTCCCCCATCTCCGTAGTTTATTAATTTGCTTTGTTAGGACATTTTGGGCCATTTGGGGTGTCAGACCCTCCATCGTCATAAGGATACCAAGGTAGCAGGTCGGGGTGTCCGCCTTTTCCCACGTCATGGCGGCCTCAGGCCCTTGCATATGAGGGAGGTCCTCGTCTGATAGCCACCATCCTACCGTCTTTTTCCAGTTGATCCTCATCTCTGAGGCCAATCTGAAAGCTTCCATGACTCTAGCCAAAATTTCAGAATGAGGAGTCTGAGGCTCTGATCAGGATAGTAAGGTCATTTGCGAACATGATTACTGTCGGGAAGTTCATATGGTCGGCTGACCCCACGTTGACCTCTGGGAGTCTGTGAATGGACGGGTCCTTGCGTAAGAATGGTGGAATAGCTTCCATTACAAATAGGAAGATCGAGGGAGCTAGCGGATCTCCTTGACGGACTGACCTGGAGATTGGATAACATTCAGACAGCAAGCCATTTACCTGTACACAACCTGTAGCATCGTTGTACAAGATGCATATCCATTTCCTAAAGTTTGGTCCCACTCCCATCTTCTCCATGCTTGCATCTAGGAAGGTCCAGTTCACTTGATCATACACCTTTTCAAAGTCAAAGAAAAGAATGGTTGTGTTTATCCTCTTTTTTCTGACCTTATTGGCTGCTTCATTTAGAGTCAATACGTTGTCCAGTATGTACCTCCCCGGAATGGAACCTCTTTGGTCGATATGGAAGCACTTCATCTGTTAATTCCATGATTCTAGCAGATAAGGCTTTGGCCAAGATCTTGTAGGGGAGTGTAAGGAGCGAAATAGGCATGTAGTTCCGGATGTCCTCTTTATCTCCCTTCTTGTACCGCAGAGTAACTACGCTACTACTTAGGAGGCTTCCTAGTCCCCCTTTTGCCCAACTGTTGTTGTAGAAGTTTAGCAAGTCGCCACCCAGGAGTGGCCAGAATTTCTCCCATAATTCTGTCGTTAACCCATCAGTCCCTGGTGATTTATCATTGTTCATACTCTTGAGTGCCTGATATAGTTCTTGCCAAGTGAGTGGTCTGTCTAACGCTTCCGCTTGCTCGGTTGTTATCGTCTGTTCCGGGTATTGTAACATCCTTTGTCTTGCTTCCCTTGTGCCGGGTGGAGTGGGCGTCGGGGTTTTGGCATGATAGAGCTCTTGGTAGAAATCTTTTGCTACTTCTAACATTCATTCGCTATGTGATACTGTCTCTTCTGGGACTGTGAGAGTTTTCGAACTCTCTACAGTACTCGCCCTCGAGTTGGCTTTGATGCGGGGAAAAAAGTGTTTCGACATTGATTCGTTGAGCTTGTATTCGTTCATTCTGGCTCATATTTGGAGTCCTTTTAGGTCCCACCATCTCCATAAAGCCAATTCCTCACATGCTTTCTCAAGGACGTCGGAGTATAGCGAAGACGAAGAGTTGTCAATCAGGTTGGCCTCAGCGATCTTTAGGGACGATTCCAAAGTCTGTCTCCTTTGTTTTCTCATGGTAGCTAGCTTCCTTGAGATTTTTGCCACTGTCTGGGAGAGAGCGGAGTAGCTCTCGTGGAACCACTTCCATCGATCATGAATGGGCAGGCGTGTGGCTCTCTGGTTTTGCCAACAATCGCATACTCCGCCCTGAAGAATCTGACTCAATAGGAGAGAGTTGTTTAGTTTGTAAAAACTAGCCCCTTTTCTCACAAAATGCTCAAAGCTGATCATTAGCTCAATCGGCTTATGGTCCAAGCCCGAATATGGTGCAAGAGGTAGAATTTCAGCACTTTTGACCGCCCCCATCATTGTCTCTGATACGAAGAAGTAATCTATGGATGAGAAGGCAGTGCAATGAGCTTGATTCTTTTTTATTAGTGTGAAGGTCCTTTTGGTAGGGTGCGAAGTTCTATACGGTTCTACCAGGCTGTGATCTAGCATCAATTTCTGGATTGGTATCGCCTCGTGTGTTAGGTGAGCTGGACGACCTTGATATACAGTCTGTAGAGGGATCTATCGTGGCGTTCCAATCGCCAGCTACAACACAAGTTGAGAGCGGGGAATCATTCTGCTTAGATTGGCAACAAAGGTGGTCCTCTCGGGTGAATCATTTGGAGCGTAGACGTTGATCAATACAAACTCTTCCTCTTTCCATTTAAAGTGCATGAGGCACCATCTTCCGTCACTAGGGTTGGCTTTTTTGTCTAGGATCCTCCCTGCCGTGTAGATACGAGAGGATTTGGTGACCAGAATGGCTGTCCCTTTCGTGCTCAATACATTGTCTGCAGCCCATATTTCATCTTTGATACCTCCTAGTTTCCTTGCTAAGAAAGTCCGAATTTTATTGTGTTCAGCCGAGAGGGTAAAATGGGTTTCTTGTAACATTATAATGTCAGCTATTTTATTGTTGGGTACTGTCAGACCTTTGATTAAGTCGTTCAGTTTGTCTTCTCTGTCTACGATATTACCCAACCCATTGATGTTCCAGCTTCGGATAACTATCCCTTGGTACTTCCAGTCTTTCCATTTCGCCCCCTTGTTCGCTACTCTTCTGAGCTCCTCCATCCTTGCAGCTATCCCGGGCGGCTTTCATTCATGGTGTTGAAGGTAGGAGCTCTACGGGGCCATTGGAGACTTTTTACTTTTAGCTTTTTAGGGGTCTGATCGACTTGTATTTTTTTCCCAGGGAATCTGCTGTATGGGATATTCATCACCCCCTAGTAGGCCCTTCGCCAATCTTCTGTGAATCGCCAGGGCTGGGTCTTGTGTTGTTTTCTTTTCGTTTTTTTTTCTCCCCCATGAAACAGGTCCTCGTGGGCCTGGCTCCATATCGACTCTGGGGAGCATGTCCGGTTCCTTTTCCACCGGCAAGTTATGAATTTACAGAACAACTCGTTCACGCTTCCTCCTGTCAGGCTGAAGGACCCCTGATCAGCATTGATTGCCCCTAAGAGGGTGGCTCGTGTTCTTCGAAACATTTTAGACCCCAATTTGATTGAGTAATTGGATAATTTGGTTGGATCATTGAGTTTTTTATTGTGCCAGGTTTGTTTGAGTGCCGTGTCCATTCTCTGCTGGATCGAATTCCATGTCGTTAATATCACAGTATGGGTGAAAGATTCTTTGGGGTGTGGAACCCAGGACCCTCACTTTTCTAATCAGGAAGGTTTGCAATGTTATTTTTCAAAGGGATCCTTGCTTACTATCTTGGGAGTAACCATTTTATAGTAGAAGTCTAGGGGAAACGACATAAATGCTGCTGTGTAGTTGGAGCCTGGGATTCTAAACGGTGGAAGGCATACTGTGTGTTCTTTTTTCGCTCTTTACTTTCCCATTTGTCTCGCAAAACACGCGACAGATGCAGACATGTGATCATGGCTCCTGCTGTAGCTGCTGTCTACGTTTAATAGCTGTCCCATGTAGTTAGGTCCCTGGTGGGGTCTGTAGGGTCCCAGGGCCCGTAAGAAGTCGAAGCGTCATAGGCCATATCGGGCCAGCACCGAATCAGACCGGTGAAAGTCCAACCGGTACGTGACAAGAAAAGTCCAGGCCCAGAGTCCAATTTTGCAGCAGCGTCCCAGGAAAAATCAGGAAAGTACCGGGCAACCAAAATTCATGCAGCAGACAGGCCTGCGGGCGATCGGTACCGGTCAGAAGAAAACCAAGGCCGAGTCAAGAAGAGAGAGAGAGAGAGAGAGAGAGAGAGAGAGAGAGAGAGAGAGAGAGAGAGAGAGAGAGAGAGAAGTTACATACTTGGTTACATACCTGGTTGAGGATTGTTTTTGCATGCACTGATGAGCGCTGGTTGCTGTTGTTGATTGTGCTGATGAGCGCTGACTATCTGAACTGTGAAGTTGTATGATATGAGTCTTCATTGAAGTTTCCTGCTGATTTGGTGTTCTGTATCTGGCTTCGGTGTGAATCTCCTGTGAGCTGTCATTTTGCATGTTGTGTGGAAAGTGAATCTGAGCGGATCATTGCATATAGCTGGTATATACATTCATTATCAGGGTGCGTTATGTTTGGGGGAAGAGGGTAGTTGCTTCTGTTGCTGACCGATTGCTGTTCTTTTAGGATGTTATATGCTTGTTCTCAATTTTCCGACTTTCATCGCGCTGCGATCTTTAGGTTGTTTTTGGAGGGTTCTCTGCGGAATCGCTGGCGGGACGAATAATGGATGCCGAGTCGAAGGTGGTGCTCACTGCCAGTGCCGTGAAACGGGCGCACAAAAAGATCGACCTGAAGTCAATAGCTGACAAAGCAGTTGCCCTTTGCCAAGAGAGTGGTTTCAATGTTGGTGAGTGTTAACCTATAGATCTTAATGAAAATTTATTGACTATTATTTTAGACATTACGCATGTCTTTTTTCCTTCTTTTGTTGCAATGTCTCCTTGAATGGTGGTGCACGACACTGAGCAATGAGCGTATTGGTAGACAGTTGATTGTTAGACTCTTCTTGCCACCGATTTCCATCGATTCCGGAACGTCCTCTGCTAGCTATCTCGTTAATATTATCGAAGCTGTTTGGCAGAAAGCACTTCGCACATCAGCGAGCAGCATTACCAAAGGTCAATCATATTTGATCTCATGTCAATCAAGTGTGTACGTGCGATGATGATTGGAATTGAATGGTATTCATTAAGTATCTTACCGATACAGAGGTCGCCTTTGAAAGCTGCTGTCAGCTTGAATTGTGAATGTTGATGCCTTCTGTTCGATGGGAAGGAAGGGAGCTGTTACGATCCTGGCCAATTTCGAAGTGCAAAATTCACGAGAAAGCACAATGCCATCCAATTGCAAAAGAAATGAATGAACTTGAGAGGAGAGAGATAAAGAAGAAGAAGCAGCAGCAGAAGAAAGAAAAAAAGAAGAAGAAGAAACAGAAGAAAGAAAAAAAGAAGAAGAAGATGTACACCAGAAAGATCAATGATAATCCCCCTCCTTCTCGGCAACCAACTCATCCTCCTTTCTCCTCCTCTCTTATTCACACAATAAATAATAGTAGTCATGATTAATGACGGAACCAGAATCGAAGTCCAAATCCCACTTCTACTGCTTGGCATAACTAGAGGTCCACCATAGCCATGGTCTCCTTCTTCTTCCTCCTCAACCAGGCCGAGGCTATGGCGGACTACTAACGGCCTCGCCCTGCTGTGCAAAAGACGACGCAAAGCAGCTATGTCCGCTGCTGCTCAGGCCGCAATGCCCGACTCGGCCTTGAAGCCTTCTTGGTGCAACGCGACCCCCTCTGGGTCCTTCCAGATAGAGCGCCTAACAAGGTGATGAAGATGGTGTCTACCATAGCCAGGTAAGTCCCTCTCCACTCTCCTCCCTAGTCCCCTTCTTCCTCCTCCTCCTACCTGGGGTCTTCCTCCTTAGCCAGGGAGGTCAACCCGGTGCTCCTCCCCCTAGGCAGCGCTAGTGGACCTGCACTGTTTCTCCCAGCAGTGCTCTGAAGTCCAGCACCGCTCAAGCAGCATGACATCCAAACTTGCATACTGCAAATGAGGTAGAGATCAGCGCTCTACCTGGAGATATAGCGGCATACTTGCCTCTTGGGCGGTGACTTCCAGGCCGCGTGGCCTCCAAGCAACCGATACCTCCTCCCTTTCGGAGGGAAACACCATTGCAGGCTCTGATATCCGTCCGCACAGGCCCTAGACTCAGGCTACTCGGACTGGTACACGCCTACCTCTAGCCTACCGCCGCAGGGCCCCTAAAACTTTTTGTCTTCTTCTGCTCGGCCTCCAGTTCCCGGCGCATCTTCCGCTACTTGAGTGGTACCAGCCTACCTGCTACTCAAGTGTTTTTCCCCGCTGCTCTAAGTGTTGCAGGCCTACTCCTGCTACTTGAGTGTTTTTCCCACAGCAACCCTTAAACCCACGGCCACAGGTTGTGGGCCTTCCAAACAAACAAGTGCCCTGGCGGGCGACACACACACTCAGACCGACAAGCACGCGGGCACGCACACGAACCAGCAAGCACTCGCACACACACAGACTTAGAAAAATCAGCAGAATGCGGAATCTCAGCAACTCATTCATTCCAGCGACAAAAACTCAGACATCAGTAGTGTTCCCAGTCTGTGTTTTGGCGGGTCATTCCAGAGCAGAAAAGGCTTCTATTTTTAAAACTTGGTACGCGATGCCACAGTGTGGATTGTAGGGCAAATGGCTAACCAGTTGCAGACAAACACAGCAAAATTACCGGACTCTGACGGACCTGGGTGTGTATGAGCTATCCTGTTTATCGTGACGCAATGAACCCTGTAGGGCCTGTACCTCGGTCCAGATTGCGCGGTGCATAGCCATCCGTATGCCTGTCAACGCACACAAAGCATCAGATAGACGCTCGGACACACAGGCAACACGGCAAAACAGACTCGCACTCGGATATGAAGCCTAATGCTGATATCAAAGATGCATTTCTGATGTGTACACGGCAAATCAGGCAAACAGACAAAGCACACTTGCACACGTTCATCATCGTAAGGGCTCACACACTCCGAAAACAAAACAAAACAAAACAAAACAAAACAAAACAGGCTTCAACTTGGAAACCTCAGCAAAAAAAAAGTGATGGCAGAATTGTTTTTTCAGAAAATGCAGATTGCTTAGACTGAGAACTGCTCAGTACAATTAAACAGGAGAAGTTCTCTGTTCTGATCAGTTTAATTAACTTTAATATCTGTTCCATGGTCCATCAGGCCACAATAAAAAATAAAAAAAAGGAGAAGCTCAGTCATTTCTTCTCTCATTGGGTGTGGGCCAGGCTTTTGCTCTAAGGTTGCATTGCGGAATAGACAATCTTGAAACTAGTAATCTAGTAAAAAAAAAGAAAACAAATCAAATCAAATCTTAATGATGAGCAATTCTTGATCACTTGGCTAATCATTAACCATTTTTTGTTCAGTGACAAGCTGGTGTTCGTTTTTGTTGCTGTGGAGGGTTTTTTCAAGTTTAGAATTTAAATTTTAAACTACTTCTCTTTACTGAAGATTGTGAGGTTCACTTTTGGAACTACCTTCGGATGAGATGTCATTGGTAGAAGAAGGAAAAAAAAAAAAAAAAAAAAAAAAAAAAGATGTCATTGGTGGGTCGCTTTTGGGTAACGAGGGCAGGACTTTAGGAGGGATGAGGAACAAATCTCTCGGGGAAATTTCTTTTGTGTAAATAGCCATAACTATATTATCATACCAGGCATGCCTTCATCCGTACTCAGTAGGTCCTGACTTCCAGCTTTCTTCCTCATTCAACTATTCTTGATGTATTCCTTGTATTTAATGGATGATGGACCTGGTTTCCAGCAGGTGGAGCTCCCCACCGATAGATGGAGCGACCTGAAAAGTCCTAGTAGGTGGGGCTGCTCGTATCACACTCCCTAATAGGACCTGCAGATCACCTCTTGCTTTGGACATTCGCTAATGATTCCGTTGCCTTTTTTTGGTGCTTTCTGCCTTTTTTTTTGCGCAGAGACTCTTCTAGTCTACGATAATGGCAATGCTCTCGCTCGTGATCAGACTCCCTGGACAGCTGCTAGAGATGTATGGTGGCAGGTAGGCAGCTTTTCACATCATCATCATCAGCATCATCACTGTTTTTGCCGTCGTTGTCATCATCATCGAGGTTACGATCCTGTACGAACCTCGGCAGATCTTATTCCAGACTGGTGCCATGTTGACAAACACTTTATATCAAATAACAAGCGTGCACACACACATGGATTTGTAGTCTTGGGCTGAGTATGACGATACATGTAGCAACATGGCATGTGATCGCGTGGAAGTTGTGGAACCCGTGAACGATGGTCAAACCATAGCTGAACCATGGGTAAACCATGGATAAACCATGGATAAACCAAGGGTAAACCAAGAGTAAACCAAGGTTAATCCATGGCTGAACCATGGCTAAACCATGGCGAATCCATAAGAAAATACAAGCTGCAGCTCTGCATTTGCTGTGTCAATCTGCATGTGGTTTTGACTTGCTGCTGTTTGTCATTTGATGGACTCAAATGTGTACTCTGCGTTTTCGGCTGCAGGATGCAGTTTCTCAGCAGGAGAAGACTTGCGATGTGGAGTGGGTTGATGCGGAGGATCCTCTGTTTATGCTTTACACAAGTGGATCCACAGGAAAACCCAAAGTATGTCATTCTTGGGCAAACATATCTTTTTTTAATCGATTGGATTTGTTGACAAACGGACTCCAACCCAAACAGTTTGCAAAACAAGTGTCATCTCACAAGCCGTCCCGATTGAGACTTCTGTTGTTATGTGTGCGTCGAATGGATACATCACGTCCAATGCCATGTCTGTGCCATGTCTGTGCTATGTTTGTGCTATGTTTGTGCTATGTCTGTGCTATGTTGGTGCTATGTCGGTGCTATGTTGGTGCTATGTTTGTGCTATGTTGGTGCTATGTTGGTGCTATGTTTGTGTTATGTGCGATAGTTGAAGTTGTTGTCAGACCCAAGCAGTTTGCAAAGTGTCACCTCAGAAGCCCCGATCGAGACCCCTGTTGTTGTCTGTGTGTCGGCTGGATTCACCACTTCGTGTAGTTGACAGGTGGTGAGTCATTTGGAGGTGAGCGGAATATTTTTGCTCTTTATGGGAAAGAATGTGGATGAGAAAGCATGATGACCAGATCGGTTGGTCTATGGTAACACTTGAAGAAACTATCAACGACTAGATCTTCACTGATGACTGAATGGCACACGTGGAACACGCTATTGATCAACTGCTAGGCGTTCGAA